TGCGATCTACCATACGTGGACAATGTACTGGTGTTGAAACATAACATATTCGTCACTTATCGAAAGAGCATATGGGTGATAACAATCAATGGTAAAAGGTACAAGGGACCACTCGCACTCAACGACTATCTTCATTTTCTTCCGGCGAACGTTTCAATAAACGCCGTGTATCAACGACCATCAGAAGAAATTGTGATGTTCGCGAATAATAAAATTTACATGGTAGATTATCCGAGTTTTCAATTGAAAAATGGTTGGCCGAAAACGTATTCCGACCTGAACTTTCCCGCAGAAATGCGCGTTAACGCAGCATTAGTCACCAACCGAGGACAAACGTACGTGATCTTCGATGGCGACAGCGTAGCGTTAATGAATGAATGCGACATGACTATTCGCGAATATCACTCGTTAAAAGCGATATTTCCGGGAATACCATCATCTCCGACTGCAGCCTACCGATATATCGACGGTTCTCTTCATTTTCTACAAAAACGTCAATATTACAAATTCAACGAGTTCACCCAAACAGTAACGAATGCCGATAATTTCGACATGAACATACTCAACGTAAATTGTCCTACAGACGGACTGCTGAGACAATTGCAAGATCTTCTTAATCGACTGCTTCAATCAAATAATTTACTCGAATACACCACAGAGGATGCATTGGACGATTAGCACGATGTTTTAAGTAAAAATAATATATTACTACATGGGTACGCAGACGATCAGTGCGAAAGAACGAATCGTTCGATTAACATCGTGAGAGAGAGACATGTACGCGATTTCAAACAATACCGACGACGACTCTCGACGTCTCCTCATCGAGCGTACGAATGACGCGATGATCAGAAGAGTTTTCACCAATACGACAGCAAAGCATTTCATCACGGAGCACGATGGAAAACAGGAAAAACAGTATAACGAAACGAACAATATGCAGAAACAATATAACGAAAAAGTAGATACGAAAGACACGTAGGTATTTATATTTTCTTTTTAATCATTGCTTTTCTAAACTAATTTTTTTTTCTTTCACACAGAACCACAGTACGCATATTGGAACGAAGATATCCTTTAACTGCTACCGGATACAAGTATCTAACCGTCGGCATCAACGTCAAATTGCCCTGCGAGATAACTGTAGTTCTTGGAGACAGTCACGGCAAAGAGATGTTCCTCTCACCGACCGTATGGAGCGAGCTCATCGAACATAAACGCGTCATATTGTCGCTTTTGCAACCCGAAAATACAAAAGGAAAACACGCACCATCGCCAATATACATCGGAGATGTGACATTGCATTTCGGTCGAATTAACAGTATACCGATGTTGCGTCTTGATTCGACATCTTCACGAATGACCTTGTCAAACAGTACAGTTGTCAATTTATTCAATCTAGAATATTGCGTCAATCGTCTCATTTCCTCATTCGACAATGTATCTGACATCATAAACAAAAAGTACTCGCGTCTTCTCAATACCGCGGCTAATGTGAACGATTCTACGAACATACAAAAAACCATGTACGAAAATGAATACTTCGATCGCAACGACATAATCGATTGCGAACTAATCGCACTGATCTTCGGACCGAATTAAAACGCTTTAAGAATAAACATTATTTTGTATTATTAATTGTATTCACTCATGTAGTAACAACACTCGAATAAAATCTATTGACAAATAAGAAAATCAATTTCACATTCAATCTTACTGAATTACACGACCAAAAAAAAAACAAAATGTATTTTTTATTCAACGCGCGACCCTGAGAACTATGAATAGATCGCAATCGCGCGTAGCGACCTTGAATAAATTAACGGTAAGCGCGTAGCGAACGACGAGGAAAAACCGAGAAAATTGTCTCGGACGAGCCAGCGAACGACGAGGAAAAACAGAGAAAATTGTCTCGGACGAGCGAGCGCGTCTTCGAATAAATATATCAAACAAAAGTAAGGGCACAGTATATTAGTCAACGCAACAATTTTTTTTTTTATTTTTTTTATAAAATAATATGGAGAAACCTGTTGAGAAAAGCATACACGCAACGGGAAAAAGTGAGAGAGAGAGAGAGCGTCGAGTGAGTCATCCGAGGCGCGACCTTGGAGACAGATCGAGGTCGCGGCGAAAATACGACGAAAAAAGGAAAAAAAAAAAAAACCGATCACGCCGCGCAACGGAAAAGAGAGCACGTCGAGTGAGTCATCCGAGGCGCGACCTTGGAGACAGATCGAGGTCGCGGCGAAAATACGACGAAAAAAGGAAAAAAAAGACCGATCACGCCGCGCAACGGGAAACAGTGAGAGAGAGAGATAGAGCGCGTCGAGTGAGTCATTCGTCGAAATGAACTGTCTTCGAAACGCGACCATGAAGGCTATAGATAGATCGAGGAAGAGGAAAAAAAAAATAAAAACAAATAAAGGTGAGAATCGTCTCCGAGGCGTGCATCGCGTAACGGCAACAACAACAACAACAATTGACGATTAGTTTCGTCGTTTTGACCAACTGAACATTTCACCCAACACATCTTTATTTTTCATTTAATTTTTTTTTTCCCTCTTTATTTTCCTTTTATTTTATTTTATTTATTTTCCACAGCCGTAACAACGATACAACGCGCGACCGAAACGAACGAACGACGACGACGACGACGACGACGTCGAGCGCACGATACGCGCGCGTGATCGAGCTACGAGGAGGAATAACGACGACGACGACGACGAACGGACAACCGTCCGAACGACCGTCGCGCCGCTCGCGAGGCTCTCGACTGCGCTCGCGCGGGAAAAGAGACATAACCTGTAAGAACGCGCGCGCGGCGAGAGAGAGATATAACCTCGCTTCACTCGCCCGCGGCGAGCGCGCTTATGCTAACCTTATAACACAACGCGCGCGATCACGTGGCTATCCCGTGAAAGCGCGCGAAAATCTCGACGGCGCACGCGCGTGCGCGAGAACGGACATAACCTGCGAAATGCGCGGGAACGGACATAACCTGCGAAATGCACGCGCGGCGGACGTAACCTCGCTTCGCGCGCTCGCCACGCGCTCGCCGCGACGACGGCGCCCGCGACGACGTCATGGCGACCGCCCGGGCGCCCCCACCAGCGAGGCGCGACCTTCACACGCATTTTTTACCTACACACGCACACACGCAAACTCGCACGCACACAAACAAAAACGAGCAACGCCATTGGCTGTCCCAGCCACGCACACACGCAAACGCGCACGCACACAATCAAAACGGAGCAACGCCATTGGCTATACCAGCCGTGGTCATTTCTAAACGGTTTGGTATATACACAGCTATACTACTTATTCCGACCGATCAACCTATCAGTCACTACTGCCGCCCCCGTTCCACTCACCGGCGCCTCATCAACAACCTCCCCCGGAGGTGATGTTTTCGCCGCTACCTCATCGCTTCCTTTTTGAATCATTTGAGGAGGAGACCTACCAACAGATCCCCTTCTAGCAAAGGGATCTGCTCCCAGATCAACCCTCTCCACTTCCTTTGTCTTAGCCTTGGTCGATGCCTTAATTTTGTCCAGTATATTGATTTTTGCTTTTTCTTTATCTATAAATTTACTCATATTTTGCAGGTTTGTTACATACACGTAGCCACCCTCTTCCGATCAGAGTTAGGTCCACTGTTCCGGGGGTGATTACCCGCACCTCTACCCGGATTGAGGTACAAGCTTTCCGATCTCAGTCAGGGATTCACATCTAACTTATCGCTACACACTACAGCTTCATCCCCAAGTGACCACGTTCCGGGCCAGACGGCGCGCCACGCCGGATGCCAACGTTGAATGAGGCACTAGGTCGTGTCATTCCTCACATCCTAACTAGGCAGAGTCTACGGCCCGAACTCCCCACCCAACGGCCCTAATTTCGTCTAACCTCGTTAGTCCTTTTTCAATTTTTCATTTACTCAAGGTTTCCAGCGGGAACCACGTGGAGGTGAGGTTCGACTGGGCTGTGATAGGCTATGCCATTTTCAGGTCAAGAGACGCTTCAACAGCCCTGTAACCATGGCTCTTTAACAGCGACTGGACCAGATCAATAGCATCCCTATCCGCAGTGTATCGCTCTAAATCGCGGCGTGTTACTATTTCACCACGTACCACTCGGTCCCGGCGTGTTGCCTTTCGCGACGCTCAAGTCAGCTACGGCGTGTTGCCATTCGCGGCGCTTAGGTCAGTCACGGCATGTTGCTTTTACGCGCATTTCTAGACGCAGCGTGTTGTCTTTTACTCGGCGTGTTACCACCGTAACACATCGCGGTGTATTACTTAACCACTCGTAACCAAACGCGGCGTGTTGCATTTTACACGGCGTGTTGCTTCACGCGCTTTACTACATACGGCGTGTTGCTTGGCGCGGCGTGTTGCTTAGCAGCGTGTCACTATAAAACGGCGTGTTGCCTTCAACCACCGCTTGGAGGGTGCACTACTTCCCTCTTTTATTATATATATAAGTTATTTATTTATTTAGCTAGGTAATTTTGGGCACTCACAGACCCATACGCTTCCATACGGAAGAAGTATGGGTCAAGGACAGAGTGCCCTTTACCAGCCTCTCCACTTCCATTCATGGGTGTCGCTCCACGTCTGGAAGTTTTGAAGCTCTTAGACCATCTCTTACACGCGGCGATTGCTGGGACAGGCCATCAACCGAACAGGTACGACACAACGTCCCCATGGGAGACACCTATTCGGCCGACAAGCCTGTACAATCCTTGCGGATCACCAAGCAATGCCACGTGCACGCCTAGAGACGGCCCGTGAAACGGGTTCCAACCTGCCGGAGCGAGCAAGGCGAGATCAAACTCACGACATATGGCGGGGACCCGATTACAGTATTTGCTACAATTTTGCGAGGCTGTGCGGTGGCCAAAGGCGAACGCAGCTCACTTATTATTGCCTTAAGACGCAGCCATTTCTGTTTCACATTTATTAGATTTGTTTGAGCATTGGATGTAATTGTGCTATGTGCCTTTTTAATCAACAATTCATAATACGTGTACTTTCCGTTTGCGATTTACATTAAGCTATAACCCTAATAAGAGCCATGGTTACTCCCGCCGGTAGATAGGGACATTCACTGTACGGGCCCCCTCCCGAAGGAGAGGTAACCCTTGCTACCTCGCCCATGCGGGCATACGCAACAATGAACTCCACTTTCCAGCGGAACCGCCCAGAGACGGGCGATGGAAAAACCCAGCAGCGCCTGTGCGGACGTATACACAGGGTGAGCGGTTTCGCCGCGACCGTGACCGGATGATGCGCCACCCGCCAAACTCCCGGGGTGGCGACGGCGCGTTCCCCAATTCGGGGACCACAACCGCCCCCCGACCCCTGCACCCAGTCACACGTCACGCCCACGGGGAACCACGGGGAAGTACGCTCACACATGTCCCGATCCTGGACAGTCGCCCTGACCCTGTTGGATAAGGATGGGTAGAGGGAGGGATGAAGCCGATATCGTCCACACAATTGTGTGGCACCGGCCCCATTGGATATAGGGTTGGATAAGCCCTACCTATTTCCATATTTAATTTAAACCTAACCATTCGGTAGCGCAGATCCCCCGTGAAGGTTACGGGGCTGCGCTCCCATGTCTCCAGGCTCCGACACGTTGAGATCAATGGCCCAGAACTGCCTTATTTCGCT